TGTGGTGCCCATATCTTAAGAAGCACATCAACAAACTGGAAAAGGTGCAAAGACATGCTACTAAGTGGCTTCCAGAACTGAAGGGCAAGAGCTACAAGGAGAGGTTAGAGGCATTAAATATGCCAAAACTAGAAGACAGACAGAAAAAGAGGTGATATGATCACTACATACAAAATAGTAACAGGAATTGATAAAATCGATAGGGAAGATTTCCCGAGACCTGGAACTTTAAGAACAAGAGGTCATAGATATAAACTAGCTAAACACAGATGCCGAAGAAATATAAGAAAATTCACTTTCGCAAACAGAGTGATAGACGGTTGGAACAAGTTAGGTGAGAAGGTGGTGGAGGCCAAGACAGTCAGTAGTTTCAAAGCGTTATATGACAAAGAGTGCTGGGAAGACGGGACACCACGAGCGTAGCTCTCATCCTGTAACTACACTTAGGTAATTACACATACATACACACACACACAGGGGTGTGTGTGAAGACACATCAAACACTTTATGTAGGTGGAATGGTCGAACAAATGGTTGTTAGAGTTTAACCCAACCAAATGTAATGTAATGAAGATAGGTGTAGGGAGCAGGAGGCCAGATACAAGGTATCATCTGGGAGAGGAAATTCTTCAGGAGTCAGAGAAGGAAAAAGACTTGGGGGTTGATATCACGCCAGACCTGTCTCCTGCAGCACATATCAAGCGGATAACATCAGCGGCATATGCCAGGCTGGCCAACATACAAACGGCATTCAGAAACTTGTGTAAAGAATCATTCAGAACTTTGTATACCACATATGTCAGGCCAATCCTGGAGTATGCAGCCCCAGCATGGAGTCCATATCTAGTCAAGGATAAGACTAAACTGGAAAAGGTTCAAAGGTTTGCCACCAGACTAGTACCCGAGCTGAGAGGTATGAGCTACGAGGAGAGACTACGGGAATTAAACCTCACTTCGCTGGAAGACAGAAGAGTTAGGGGGGACATGATCACCACATTCAAGATTCTGAAGGGGATTGATAGGGTAGATAAAGACAGTCTATTTAACACAAGGGGAACACGCACAAGGGGACACAGGTGGAAACTGAGTGCCCAAATGAGCCACAGAGATATTAGAAAGAACTTTTTTAGTGTCAGAGTGGTTGACAAATGGAATGCATTAGGGGGTGATGTGGTGGAGGCTCACTCCATACACAGTTTCAAGTGTAGATATGACAGAGCCCGATAGGCTCAGGAATCTGTACACCTGTTGATTGACGGTTGAGAGGCGGGACCAAAGAGCCAGAGCTCAACCCCCGCAAACACAACTAGGTGAGTACACACACATACACAGTGGTACCTCGGAATACGAGAGTCCCTGAATACGAGTTTTTCGGAATACGAGCAGTATTTGCTCGGAAAATGTGCCTCGGAAGGCGAGTTTGTTGATACGCGTACAGGCCGACCTAGCGCGTGGTGGTACGGCGATCGTCGCCGCTCGCCCCTCGGTTTACCAGTGCCTCGCGCCCAGTGACTATCCCACGTCAATTCTTCACCGGATTTTTAGTGTTTTGTTGGATTTTTGGTCATTTTGACCATAAAAGTTATTATATATCTCGCCATGGGTCCCAAGAAAGCCAGTGGTAAAGTTTAACCTAAGAAAATAGTGCGGCGTTTTGGGTGATCGAGTGGCAACACTGAAAAGTGTATACTCTCTTTCACTGTCCTGACATAAATTTTCGATGTACGTATTTCAATTTTGTACTAATGTGTTCGCAATAGAATGTTCTAGAAGAACACAAGTATAAAATGTCACACAAGGATGCATTAGACCGGCACAAAATAAAAAACTATGTCGATTACACTTGTCGTGTCAACAATACAATGGTCTTACCTCGATGGTGCAATGCTATGCCGTTCTCCCAAATAGGCTATGCGGCTATTAGAGAAAACGGAAATTTTATGGCGGACATTTTCAAACTATCCCAAGATTGATCGCATAACAAATAGTTTATAGAAATATTTTTTCTTGTGACTCGTGAGTGAGTCCGCTGTGAGACCTCAACACAAAAAGTGGTAACGCTCTCGAGTGCCGTGATAATGCTAAAGTGTTAAGAAAATGTGTGAAGTATGGAAAGAATTGCAAAGTTTTGTTGAAAAAACTCACCCAGATAAAGCTGTAGCAGGCCGTTGCATTGACCTTTTAAATGACAATATGATGTCTTACTACAGACAAGGGTTAAATTGTAGGGAAAAACAAGTGTCTTTAGACAGATTCTTAGTAAGACAAGCAAGTCTTAGTGGTATGCAGGCAAAACGTGCCGGAGTGCACACCAGTGAAGTCTTCACTGCCTGATGTTATAATGGAAGGGGACTTCCCTTCTAAACAGTAACACCTCTTCTCCTCCCTTCTCCTCACCATCTTCCATACGCCAACAGCAAGGTAAGTAATAACTTGAACATAGTTTTGTAGGTTTATTTAGATGAATTAGGTATAAAATTTAGTTTGAAGTGGGGTTTTTGGGGTAGTCAGGAACGGATTAATTCATTTCCCATTATTTCTTACGGGAAATTAGCTTCGGAATACGAGTTTTTGGAATACGAGCTGTCTCCAGGAACAGATTAAACTCTTACACACACACACAGTGGTACCTCGGTTTGTGTGTGTGTGTGTGTGTGTGTGTGTGCAATTACCTAAGTGTAGTTACAGGATGAGGGCTACGCTCGTGGTGTCCCGTCTTCCCAGCACTCTTTGTCATATAACGCTTTGAAACTACTGACGGTCTTGGCCTCCACCACCTTCTCACCTAACCTGTTCCAACCGTCTACCACTCTGTTTGCGAAAGTGAATTTTCTTATATTTCTTCGGCATCTGTGTTTAGCTAATTTAAATCTATGACCTCTTGTTCTTAAAGTTCCAGGTCTCGGGAAATCTTCCCTATTGATTTTATCAGTTCCTGTTACTATTTTGTATGTAGTGATCATATCACCTCTTTTTCTTCTGTCTTCTAGTTTTGGCATATTTAATGCCTCTAACCTCTCCTCGTAGCTCTTGCCCTCTTGTGTGTGTGTGTGTGTGTGTGTGTACAACTACTCACCTAGTTGTACTCGCCTAGTTGTGCTTGCAGGGGTTGAGCTCTGGCTCTTTGGTTCCGCCTCTCAACCGTCAGTCAACAGGTGTACAGATCCTGAGCCTATTGGACTCTATCATATCTACACTTGAAACTGTGTATGGAGTCAGCCTCCACCACATCACCTCCTAATGCATTCCATTTGTCAACCACTCTGACACTAAAAAAGTTCTTTCTAATAACTCTGTGGCTCATTTGGGCACTCAGTTTCCACCTGTGTCCCCTAGTGCGTGTGCCCCTTGTGTTAAATAGTCTGTCTTTATCTACCCTATCAATTCCCTTGAGAATTGTGAATGTGGTGATCATGTCCCCCCTAACTCTTCTGTCTTCCAGCGAGGTGAGGTTTAATTCCCGAAGTCTCTCCTCGTAGCTCATACATCTCGGCTCGGGTACTAGTCTGGTGGCAAATCTTTGAACCTTTTCCAGTTTAGTCTTATTCTTGACTAGATATGAACTCCATGCTGGGGCTGCATACTCCAGTATTGGCCTGATATATGTGGTATACAAAGTTCTGAATGATTCTCTACACAAATTATTTCTGAATGCCGTTCGTATGTTGGCCAGCCTGGCATATGCCGCTGATGTTATCCTCTTGATATGGGCTGCAGGAGACAGGTCTGGCGTGATATCAACTCCCAAGTCTCTTTCTTTCTCTGACTCCTGAAGAATTTCCTCTCCCAGATGATACCTTGTATTTGGCCTCCTGCTCCCTACACCTATCTTCATTACATTACATTTAGTTGGGTTAAACTCTAACAACCACTTGTTCAACCATTCCTTCAGTTTGTCTTGGTCTTCTTGAAGCCTCAAACAGTCCTCTTCTGTCTTGATCCTTCTCATAATTTTGGCATCATCCGCAAACATTGAGAGAAATGAATCTATACCCTCCGGGAGATCATTTACATATATCAGGAACAAGATAGGACCGAGTACAGAGCCCTGTGGGACTCCACTGGTGACTTCGCGCCAATCGGAGGTCTCGCCCCTCACCGTAACTCTCTCTGCTTCCTATTGCTTAGGTACTCCCTTATCCACTGGAGCACCTTACCAGCTACACCTGCCTGTCTCTCCAGCTTATGTACCAGCCTCTTATGCGGTACTGTGTCAAAGGCTTTCCGACTATCCAAGAAAATGCAGTCCGCCCAGCCCTCTCTTTCTTGTTTAATCTTTGTCACCTGGTCGTAGAATTCTATTAAGCCAGTCGGGCAAGATATACCCTCCCTGAACCCATGTTGGCGATTTGTCACGAAGTCCCTTCTCTCCAGATGTGCTACCAGTTTTTTTCTCACGATCTTCTCCATCACCTTGCATGGTATACAAGTCAAGGATACTGGCCTGTAGTTCAGTGCCTCTTGCCTGTCGCCCTTTTTGTATATTGGGACCACATTCGCTGTCTTCCATATTTCTGGTAGGTCTCCTGTCTCCAGTGACCTACTATACACTATAGAGAGTGGCAAGCAAACTGCCTCTGCACTCTCTTTCAGTACCCATGGCGAGATCCCGAGATCCCGAGATCTTCCAAGGCTGCCTGGTTTACTTCCCTTTCTCCTAGCACAGTGACCTCACCTTGTTCTGTTGTGAAGACCTCTTGGAACCTCTTGTTGAGTTCATCACACACCTCTTTGTCATTCTCTGTATACCTGTCCTTGCCTGTTCTAAGTTTCACTACCTGTTCTTTCACTGTTGTTTTCCTTCTGATGTGACTGTGGAGTAGCTTTGGTTCGGTCTTGGCTTTGTTTGCTATATCATTTTCATAACTTTTCTCTGCTTCTCTTCTCACATTGAACATTGATTGAACATTGCTGTGTGCCAAAAGGATATAAACTAAATCATTGGTATTGTCCATATTTTTTATTACAGCCAGAAAGAGTGACCAATGTTTAATCCACAGGTCACGTGAACAACCTCAAAGTATTGTATAGTGCCGGGAAGGTGAACGTACCCAAAGCTTCTTCAACGAGACACATCCCTAATGTTCCAGAGAAAGTGTTGGATGCACCTGAGCTTGTAGATGACTATTGTAAGTTACTCTGACCTGTTTCTTTACCAGATAATTTGTATCAAACCATCAACCACTACCCAGCAATTGTTTTGGTGCCATTGTAACTTTGATGCCTCTCAGCCTGGTTCCGTGGCATTCTTCTGTTGATTGGAGATCACTGCAGTGTTATAGGCATTATTACAGGGGGGGGGAAAACTTCAATCTTAACAGCCCATCACAGCTTTTCACTAGGCATTTTGGCAGAAATCAAAGGGTAACTGCCTTACTGCTTTATTAGACATAATGAAGGGGGAACTCTGACGGGAAGACTTCCCTCTGTCGAGAGGAATACGATGCCACCAAAGGCACTGCTCGGAATGGTTCGTCCAATGAACGAGATAAAGGTCGATCCCAGGGGTAGTTTTTTTTCCCCCCTTTGTTGGAAAAGGAGGATGTAGATCTGACACCAAGCAGATGGAAGTACAGAGACCCATGAAGAAAAAGTACTGTAAATCTCCTAAACGAGTTTGTTTGACGGATGAAAATATCTACTCGTGCAACCCGGAGGTTGGCATAGATTGCCCAAGCTAGACTGACTTGGCTCATCAACCTCTCACTAGATCAACTACCCATCCCCTGCCATGTTGATTATGTGGCAGGCAGTATCAATGTACCTGTAATAGGTATGCTGTATTCCCACTTATGTTTGCTTTCCTCTAACCACAATTAATTTTTTTTTTTTTTTTTTTTAACAATAGTGTAATTTGAAATGTTTTAAAGTATGGTGATGCAGATATAAATATATAGGCAACAGTAATGAAGAAAACCAGTGATTAGATAATGTTAGATTTTTAGTACTGTCTACATTTACATGCCTCCCACCCTTCCTGTTCCCCCAAAGTTTTTTTTTATCCATCCATTTTAGAAATTTGAACAGCTTGATAATGTTTAAATGCAAGTATTTTGGTCACTTAAAAGCAACTTGTACTGCCTATTGGACTAAAGAGACTTAATAAGAGTCTCGATGACCTCGGTTACTGCAGCATATCGGAAATGACACCACACTAGGTATCTAAAAACTGTAGCTTGGAAAATTTATAGGTACAGTGGAACCTCGAGTGAAGTGCTCAAAATGCTCATAATTTGAGGCAATGAGCGTGCTGATCAATGACAATTTGTCTCCATTGGCGAGTGTTCATTTGATTAACGAGAAAACCACATGGTGCGTTCCCGCGGCTTCTCGCGCATTCTCGGACGCCTCTGACGATGCAAATTTTTTTTTTTTTTTTAAAGATGCTAATGATGCTGGGATGTAAAAGGGTCACTGCTTTGATGTTGCAAGGCATTGAATTGTTTTTGTAGAATAAAAAAAATAAAAAAATTTAAAAAAAGAACACATGTCAAAAAGGTTCGTTCAGTGTAATTACCTAAGTGTAGTTACAGGATAAGAGCTACGCTCGTGGTGTCCATTCTCCCCAGCACTCTGTCATATAATGCTTTGAAATTACTGACGGTTTTGGCCTCCACGACCTTCTCACTTAACTTGTTCAAACCATCTACCACTCTATTTACAAAAGTGAATTTTCGTATATTTCTCCGGCAGCGTTGTTTCGTTAGTTTAAATCTATGACCTCTTGTTCTTGAAGTTCCGGGTCTCGAGAATTTTTCCCTATCAATTTTATCGATTCCTGTTACTATTTTGAACGTAGTGATCGTATCGCCTCTTTTTCTTCTATCTTCTAGTTTTTGCATATTTAATGCCTCTAACCTCTCCTCGTAGCTCTTGTCCTTCAGTTCAGTGTGCGCCAGGTTGGCTGCTCCATTATTAATAAATAAATGGAAATATACAAAACAAATTTAACACATTTGAAACAAAGAAAGAGTGTGATAATGGAGCAGCCTACCTGACAAACACTGAACGAACCTTTTGCTATATCAAAATTAAAAATAAAAAAAGTGAGCAAAGTTGTAAAAAGAACAATGTCAAAAAGGTTTGTTCAGTGTATGTCAGGTAGGCTGCTCAATCATTTAAAAAATCGAAAGTCATATTGATGTTTTTCAGGGGTGAAACGGATTATTTTTATTTCCAATATTTTAAATGGGGAAATTCGTTTTGAAAGACGAGCATTTCGCATGACGAGCTCGATGCTGGAACGGATTAAATTCATTAATCGAGGTTCCACTGTATTCTATTACAATGTTAAAATGGAAAGCCATAATGGGCTTGTATAAAGTGACCCATTGACTAGATTGCACAAGTAGATTGTTTACTAGATGCATTTTCTGGGGGGAGCCCCGTCGGCTCCCCGGAGCTTTACCGGCTGATATGCTAATGTCGGACTTTGGCATCAGTCATGTGTATGGAGTTCTAGGGCCTACCGGGGACCACGGCCAGAACCTGGCCCCCTCAGAGAGGCAAGGGGAGCAATGGCCTATAGAAACCCCCGTGTGGTTGGAAGCATTCTATGTCTGCCATCGACCGGGTCAAGCATCCAGAAAGGTAAGCATTCCAAAACAAACCCCTATTCTGGTGAAAATTGCTACCTAAAGCCGAACTAGTGGATAGAACTCTTCAACAGAAAACAAGGAAACTAGTATGACGTCATACGTCACCGCGCCGCTGTCTGCGCAGCTCCCCCCTCCCCGGGAGGGGGAAGGGGGAGCCCGAGACCTCCCACGCGGCTATCCACCCATCAGTTCTGAGGCTGGATGTCAAAACACGTGAAAAAAACGCCGACCGGAGGGAGGGAGGGTTGCCGGGAAGCCTCCGGGTCTCGCCCAGAAAATGGCGTTTCATTACATTCAACACTGGTTTTTTTGAAAGAAAATGCTAGTCTCATAAAAAAAATGTAATTGACGAATCTAAAATATTCTCGATTTGGCAGTGATTAAAATCTGAGGCAATCTACTTCCTGTCTACCCAAACAGGCTCCTCCTCCTCTATTGTTAAATAGAGGAGGAGCAGCATAGTATGAAGATCATTAAATGAAGAGCATAGTAATGCTCTTCATTTAATGATCCCATCCTGGTATTCATATTTAATCATGTTTCTGTAATGTACTCTGGCTTTCATTGGATTTTATTATTTACCTGTTATCTTAATGAGCTATTGTAACCAATTTTTGGCTGGAATGTAAGGTTTTAAATACAAAAGAAGAAAATTTGTGTAAATATTAATTTTAAACTTAATTAGTAAAAATTATTTTGGTGAAAAGCATTGCTTAGTGTCTTCACCATATAATTCCAAGTTGGTTTTCTTCAGATCTGCATTTGTTGGACTGGAGTGTTAATAACCACTTGGCCGTAGCTCTCAGTAGCTCCATCTACATCTGGAATGCTGGAGATGGCTCCATCACCCCCTTGGCCCAGCTTCAAGACCCCGATTATGTCTGCTCGTTGTCCTGGATCAAGGAAGGTGAGGCTTAATTAGTGATAAACATCTGTTATTCTAGTGTCAAATTATAGTCTAAAATGTTTCATCTTCCTACTAAAGTCCTGTTATGCATGAGGCTCGGTTCCTGAACCCATTATGTGTGTCTGTAACCTTTCCATCGCTGCCCATGGGATAGGTATGGGATGCATAGTAAATAAATGAATCTTAAAAACATTGTGCAGTGGTAAACACAAATGGTTCTCGACCAAATGTCTTTGGTTTGATTCACACGACAGGACAGATATTTGGCCACATTTGATTTCACATGATGTATCTGTCCACCTAACAGTTGATATGTATCCGATGTCTCTCGTTTGTTTCTCCTCGTGTGTTTTTTTTTTTCTCTCTGTAATATTATTCAAAAGTTGAATTTGGAATTTATGTAGTTCAATGCGTGGAACATTCCTATGTTCAAAATTATGAAGCACATATATGGTGACATGTAAAATATATTCTAATATCAATAAAGCAGTGTTTTTGTTATTACAGTATATACCCATGTTGTATATAACTATCTACATTTTTGTGCACCATAATGAACCACAAAGATAGTGTGTTGAGAGTTCATATACACGGAAGAAGTATCCAAGGTCAGCATACAGCCGACAGCTGAGTGTGGCAGGGGCTGTCCAAAATACATTTTTATATAATTTTAGTATCTGTGAATGGTTTTATATCTAGTTTTCTGCAGTAATAATATTCAATAGTGTGGAATTTGTATAGTTAAATGTGTGGAACATCACTATTCTCAAAAAATATGGGGGCTCATATATGGCAACACGTATATTATATTCTCTGATCGACCAGTGTTCTTGCTGTTATTGCGCTATATACCAACGTTATATATCGCTATCAACATTTATATGCACAATAAATTACTAATTAACAGTTCTGGTGGATATGTGATGAAATCAAAACACAGCATGAAGCCTCAAGCAGGCGACACCAGCAGTCACATGATGCAAGACAAAGCCTCCAATATTCTACTCGTCTCACTATGACTAGCTACAAAACCGATGTTATCAAATTCCTGTCACAAAATCTCAAATATGAATTTCAACAGGATTGTATTGTGAAGGAAAATTAGTTAGTTTCGTTATGCGTAAAGGCAGGAATTGGTGGTTGGGTGCTGTGTATTTACCTCATGCTGTTAATATCATTATATTAACACTGGCATTATACACCTGAATATTGTACATAGTCTTCATCACAGTCACGATCATCTATGATGCTATCGACGCAAAATAATTTGTTTCCTATTTTATTCATCATTACTAAGTGGTGCTGTGTCCCCTAGCGCTGCTCCTGCATGCACCAGCCTTGGTCGCTCTTTCAGTACTAAGACTCGCAGCCAGCATGGATGCTGACAAAAAAATTTCAAGGTGGCATCTGTTTACAAGAGTTCTGAGGAACTGAATGTGAATCCTGTTTACCTGCGGGAGTTTTGAATCACTCTCTATACCTAAAAGCGCCATATGGTGCTCTGTACACCCCCCATTGGGCTGGTGCTCCATACACCCCCCATCGGGCACCTTAAGGCGCTCTGCGCAGTGCAGTGGGTTAAGACATAAATTCCTTCTGTCAACCAACAACAATGTACTGTCATTGTGGCAGGGAAATTTTAGGAAATTAATGAGGATTAACTACAGTTCTACTACAATTATAAGTGATAATTAAATAAAGTAACACTACAACAGATTGTCTCTTCTTAGTGTGTATGCAATGAAACTAATTCAAGTAAGATTGAGTAGAAGTAGGTGGGGGAATTTCCCACAATATTCAATGCATTGAACGTTTGTTGCATGGCATAAAGTTACTTCGATTATATTTTATATCGTAAAATGCAGACTAGTTGTTTGTTTGGAAACTTTACCTTTGTGGAAAATTGGGAAATTATAACATAAATTATAAAAACTTAATATTAAGAGGAGCAGAGATTGAAATAAGTTGAGGTATAAATACACACAAAGGGATGAGGTAGCTCAAGCTATTGTCACACAGTTAGGGACAATGATTGTTTTCTGTAGCTGCATTGTGTTGCTAATAGACAACTTTAAAAATTAATATTATACAAAAAATTTACAATGTACAGCATTTGTGTCAAAAGTAAAGCAATTTGTCGAGTAGCTTCAGGTTTTCCACAAGTGGAAGGCCCGAGTTGACGGCTACACTTGTGCGGTGCCCAAGATTTCTCTCCTGGTCTTGCCTTCTATATCTATTATTCGGCATCCAAGAATAGATGGATCGAGAGTTGTAATTATAGTATAACACTATACTGCCTTAGTGTCTTCTGATAAGAGCATATAGTGTTGACCTTTGTTGTTTGGGGGGGGGGGTGATGACCCTAGAATCAGATGTGCCTAGCCTTTGTTTGTGTTGCATGATACCAATGAAACTTTCTATAATGCTTTTAGTTTATATTTTCCCCACAGGTAATATTTTAGCTATGGGCATAAGTTCCGGGGTAACACAACTGTGGGATGTTGGTCAACAGAAACTGATACGCACCATGGCAGGCCATATAAATCGTGTCACTACACTATCCTGGAATTCGTACATTCTCTCGTCGGGTTCAAGGTCAGGACAGATTTTCCATCATGATGTTCGTATTGCTGATCACCATGTGGCAACACTGAGTGGCCACACACAGGTTAGTTGATCAAAACTCTTAATACCTTGTAATGGAACTTCTCTATTTAAAATCTATAGCTGTACAATGTAATAGTATAAGTGTTCATTTAAAAAGTGTAGTTTGCACACTGTTGGTACTAAAGTACAGTATTATGGACAGGAAGTTTGTGGTTTGAAGTGGTCTCCTGATGGCCGCCTTTTGAGTTCTGGCGGCAATGACAACCAAGTTAACGTCTGGGAGCACGGCGCCACTACACCCCTCTTTACCTTCACAGAGCATCAAGCTGCCATTAAAGTAAGATGCCCACCAAACTAAGTAACTAACACATCTTTATGTGCATTAGATGCATGTTAAATCAATAAAATTTAACATGTAGCTGTTTACCATTGCTTCAGGCTTGCTGCACACTGTTGGAACTGTTGCAGGGTTGATGCCGATAGATATTCCTAACGGTACAATAATTTTAGTAGGTTTGTTAATAGTCTTTTGTTGTCAACTAATCTATTGTTGTTTACTTGTACATAACTATAGATTTATTGAGTTTCTTCGTAATAAGACATAAAAATCATAAGAAGTGTTTGGTAATGTATGACGGTACCAACTCGCTGATCACCCGTGTGGTAAGTGGAATGCATTGAAGGAAGAAATTGCAGGAGCCAAATTTATCCACCTTAAGAACAAATTGGTCAAATGTTGTGCTGAAAGGGGTAATAAAAGGGGTATAAATGGTTAGGATGAAGGGGAAGGAAGAAATAGATCTCGCTTCCCCAACGTCACTGAGAATTGAGTGCTTAAGAATATTGCAAAAAATTTTGCTATTTTCCAAATGAGGCAATACTGAGTGGTACTGTACTTGATTACAGTAAAGGCTTCCTAATTTGAACCTCAATAATCTGGATCTCTGGGTAACTTGGCCAAAATTTTATTGGTTTTTGTTTACTTAGTTTGAACTGTAATCTGAATTGCTGGGTTACTGAATGACAGACTGTGACCTTTGTTTATAATACAAACTTATTCTACGAACATAAACATTTATACAAATATTAAAACAATTTACCTCCATATAGTGGAGAGGGCTGTGATGGTTAAGTTAGGTGTATACATTTGCCCTTTCACTTTAGCTTAGACAGTGTATAACAACTACAGGTATTAAGTCTATGCTTGGTAATCTGAATCATATGGGATCCCATCTTCATTTGAGTTGGCTGAATTTTTTGCCATAAATAACCAAACACAAACATTTAATTTTTTGTACTGCAACCAACATGATTCCTGCAACTCCTGCCCAGTTGTTTCCGTCTGGTTGGTCCGAGAACTGTGTGTGTGTAATCTTATGACCCTAATTACTGTTAGGGTTAAAAAATCAAGAATTTGGAAAGGAATTAATTTGGGTTACCAGAATTGCAGTTACCAAACTCAAAGTAATTGACAAGAACACGGATAGAATACCAAACATAGACCTACAGTGTAATACGTCATGTGCATCTATATTACAAGTGAAATTGTTATTGCCACAGCTCACAGGAGGTGTCTTGCATCCCACTCCTTTGCTGCTATTCTGTTTGGCAATGTTGTGCACAAGTAGATACAACCTGAAGTGGGAAAAGGCCAAATTATGATTTTATAATAACTTTGTTGCAAAGTAAACACATAATTTGCATAAAACCAGGCAGTGATAATTAAAATAAACATGATAATAACCATACTTTTAAGGGTTAAAAATTATAGCAATTAAGTTTTGTATACGGGTTATATATGAGAACATTGTATATGGGTTATATAGTAGATTTCCCTGGTAAAATATGAGAGGACATTTTGTCAATCTGGCGGCCTGTACATACCTTGAGCAGACCATTCCCCCCCCCCCCCCTCCCTTTTCCCTTGCCCAGTCATAGTGTGATAAAACGAAGTGTCAGTCTGTAATTGAAATATTAACTTCCTATCTTTTTTCCTGCTTTAATACAAACTTAGATATTTTTATTTAGAAATACTGTATGTCAAGGTGGTTGTATTGCAGAAAAGTGTTGTTTATATTTTGCATGCATCATAAGAAGTTCCAGTAATACAGTATAGCTTGGCATTATCCCCATGTGATCAAAATTAGTGAGCTTAGTCAGTTGGATTTAATAATGGTAGGGGAGATACCACTGGTGGCGCATCTTTTATCTTTCGCTGACTAACTGCCAAGCCCCTCTGCACTTCATGAAAGTAAAAGATGGGACAGTGGTGAAGATGACTAACTTGATATTGTGTTTCAGGCAATAGCGTGGTGCCCCTGGCAAAATAACCTGCTGGCTACAGGGGGCGGGACGGCTGACAGGACCATCCGACTGTGGAACTGTACCACCGGCATGTGTATCAAGGATGTTCACACTAACTCTCAAGTATGTTTACTAATAAGAATTTGTAAACTAATAACCTTTGGTTATGTGAGGTACTTTTTACATTTGAGATATATACCTCAAGGTAAGATTATTATAAGAACGTCCCAAGTATAATTGTACAGTATAGCAGGCGAGACGTATGAGAGGACAAACTGGAGGAAAGGTGCCCAACCACTTGGACCATCTGAGATCAGAGGTCCATCCCGGCAAGAAGCGAGTTTATACCTATTCAGAATAATCTGTCGGTTTGCCCTGAAGGTCCTTGAGGAGTAGGCAGTTCTCAGTTAGGAAGATATTTCACTTTCAGTTGCTTCAGCCCTTTGTAATTTGATATCTGTCTTGACACCTCTTTCTTGAGAAGCTTTCATTCTGCAAGAATTCTTTATGTAATTAACACTAATCATATAAATTTCCTTGACCTAACTTCAAATTTCAGAACTTAAATCTTTTGACATAAGTTGGTCTTTTTCTATTTTCAAAACTGTGCATAAATTGTGAAAGTTTACAGTGATTTTTAGTGAATTAGAATCTTAGTCCAGGAATTAGTCTGTTATTCCTCAGCTATATGGTATATTTTAATGGGAATTGTATGCATTACCCAAGAAGGTTTAAAGTACCTAATTAGAGATCTCTTCATAAGTTTGAAGTCTCGGCATAAATTGATATTGTACAACACTAATTTTCTATTTAAATAGAAATTTAATTTTTCAACATGACGGTACAGTTTTGTTTAGCATCAAGATAAGCTTGCTTGAGTTGCATACACAATGTTGTATTGGGGGAAACATTCCTGGTGTGCTTTCAGGACTTATTATAGGAATAATGATTTCCAGGTTTCTTCTATATTGTGGTCATCGCACTACAAGGAGCTAATATCTGGACACGGCTTCTCCAACAATCAGCTGACCCTCTGGAAGTATCCAAGCATGGCCAAGTTGGCAGATCTCACAGGTAAGGGGCATCACATCACATAAATCATATCAGCTGTGATACATAACAGTAAAGTAATATTATAGCACTAATTGTTAGACTTGAAAAATTCTTAACAGGAGGATGAATTACAATATTTAGATGTACCTATTGTGACGATTGTCAATAGTCACGAATTCGTACGTAGTTAGCTTTTAGATAGTGGTATACTGACTAGCAAGGAATTCTTTTGAAATAAAGTTAAAACACCAATATTCCTAGGCCTAGTATAGCACACACGTGTGCATGTGTGATATTGTTTTAGGCCTAGGGAGGTTAGCTAAGGTTAGTTTAGTTTGTCAAAGTAACAAGTAAAAAAAAAAAAAAAAATTCCAGTTTGTCCAACTTGGTACTGTAGTTCAGATTTCTACTTTCTAATTTCGTTGTACATCAATATATATACCATGGTTCTCATGGTTACTATAAGTACTGTATCAGCTCGCTAATGCAGATTACATGGGGAAGGACCCCCAGCCGGATTATAACGTTTTCCGGATCAACGTCAGTCCAAAAGTGACCATTTCCAACTATTTTTATACCACAAACAACATAATTTGAATTGCCTTACCACATATAATTATAAAATATTCAACTAGAAACCTCACCTTAACTTGTTGTAGTTAGTCTTCTTGATTGATGCAACACATCTTGAAATTAAGAATTCTTGACAATTTACGTAACTTATTTTAACAACACTAAAATTAACACTTAAAATTACTTTAAATTACTGAAATGTATTTCAGGTATTTCTCTTTGTTTCCTTATATCAGAAACAGTACTAGTGCCTATATTCAAGTCCTTGGTAACACTTGAAGTCGACCGGCCACTTTCACAAAGTTGTATAACACGTAACTTGTCCTTAATTGATAGGGTAACCTTTTTCCTCTTAACACCTCCAGAAAGATTGATGCTGCTACCAGACATAGTCTTGGCAAAAAATGTTCAAAGGTACTATGAAAACAAAAAAGTTATTTAAAAAAATATTTCACTAATGGCGCAGCACTGTGGTATAACACGAGGGACGGGAGTACACGGGCTGTTTGGCTTGACCAGGCCTGGACGGGTCCACTTGGGGCAGGCAGGCATGTTACGTAGGACACCAGGTGGAAAAAAAAACAATTTTGGGAGCAAACTTCAGCCTGTGCAAATTCTTTTTGGAAACTTGTATATTTGTTGTTATATTATTTCTTTTGTTTTTGACTGATGAATTGTTTTAAAATTAATGGTAATTGATGTAGTGTATAGGCCCCTCCAGATCTCCCTTATCCCCCAGGCTATTCCCTAGGCGGTCCTTCCCAACGCTTCCCTCTCTCCTGACATCACCCACCCCCTCCTACACCACATGCCTAGAGCCTCAGCCGTACATGATTAATATAGAACAGCCCGATGCCTGGCTTTCTGATCTGGACGAATCATAGCTTGTCCAGCTTACTGTCCGGATTAGGTAGCATCGACAGCAAGTATACCGGCTCGGACTTCTTACCCAGCCAAACATCAGCTAGTACGGCTTCCATGGACATTTTGGCCGGATGGGAAGATAATTTTATCTGGCCATGAGTTTGGCCAGTTTAGGGCATTTTCTGGATAGACGGATTCCAGATTAGGTGTCTACAGTACTACCCAAACAGGAGGATGGGCCGAATATCGTGGTGACAAAGTATGTGCATCATAGAAAAATTTTGCCCCTGGATCTTTTGCCCCTATTTTCGGATGACGACTCTGTCCCAGGTCTGGCTTCTCTTGGAAAGGGATGTTCGAATGGTGTCTGGACCTCCGGGATGCCTATTGTCACGTATTGGGGTTCAGGGACTGGTTAGGTTTTGTAGTGAGGCGGTAAGGTTTCCACTTTCATGGCCTTCCATTTGGCCTGAATCTGGCACCTCGCATATTCACACGTCTCACCCAGGTCGTGGTGGCCTATCTGCATCTGCTAGGGGTTTAGGTTCTGGCCTACCTCAACAACTAGCTGGTGTAGGCTCCCAGTCGGTCTGCATGTATGCTCACCAGGGGTTTTGTTCAGATAGAACCACTGCAAGATTACATAGGGGGAAGGGAGATATCCACAAGACTGAAATAAAAGTAATCATCAAGCACACAGGTACTAGACCACACAACCAAAACAGCACACCCTGGACCATGGGGAAGACCTACCAAAGCCCACAAAAGGTGACACGCAATATGGGAAATCATTCATATTTGCAAACATATAATGCCTAAAGTCAAATCAAGAAATTGTCAAGTTCAAAAATGGCCTTCTAATAGAATCGAACTCCATATTTGATGCATTTACAGAAACCCACAAGAAAGACTACATGGATAGTAAAACATGGATCCCAAATTATACTCTATATAGATATGACAGAGTAATTAGGTAAAGTGTAGGAGTTGGTCTGTATATTAAAGAGGAATTGGCTTGCACAGAGCTAAACTCGACCAATGAGGTGGTAGAGGTACTTGGAATTAAGGTAGAAAATATAAATCTAATTACTATTCTAATATACAAACTGCCAGATGCAGCAGTTGAGGAATTCACTGAGCAGATAATGTACACAAAATAGACTATTCTTGATAACCTAGCAAACCCATACCAAATATTATCTATCTTAGAGGCTTCAATCTACCCAGTTCAAATTTAAAATAGTGAACAACAACATTATAACAGGAAATCAACCTGGAAATAATCACAGGTCAGAGAACTACTGAGATTCTGTGATAAATTCTCACTCAATCAGATGATTACAAAACCAACTAGGAATGAAAACAATCGGACATTAAGATCTCGGACACTACATACTTGGGCCACAAGATCATTGAAGTGCAAACTAACATTAATAACAGTATTAGGCCCCAAGAGAAACAACAAGCGAGAAGGGTTATTGAGTAAATTCCATAGACCAGGAATTCCATAGACTTCAGTAAAACAAGAGTCCTCGGTAAGATATACATACAGTACTGTATTGTAGTCAAAATGACTGGTATTTGGTATAAAATGTATTTTTAAGTTAATATTTTTGGGGTGTGGAATGGATTAATTTAATTTACATCATTTCTTGTGGGAAAATTCGTTTTGGTGTATAAATTTTTGGTGTGCAACACGTCTCTGGGAATGGATTAGGATCGTAAACGAAGGTACCACTGTACTTCTAGGTTTCCTTTCCTGTCTCTCACTAACTTTATTTTTTGTTGCTAAGCTATTAGTACCATTGTTATAATTTCAGGTCACACTGGTCGAGTACTGGAGCTGTGTTTGTCACCAGATGGGCAGATGGTGGTCAGTGCAGCAGCTGACGAGACGATCCGTATGTGGAAGTGTTGGGGAGTCGACAAAAAAGACAAGAAGCAGGCAGAGTCCAGCAAAAATCATCCTATATCAATGTTGGCCCGCACTATTCGTTAAGAAGTATACTGGTTCCAGTAAAGGTTATCCTGTATCACTACTGGCATGCACTGTACATTAAACTAACTATACCTGGCTAAATGAGCAGGTTGTGTTCTAGCCAATCAGATCTGATTTTTTCACCATTTGCGAACATTTCTTCTTTCTCGAGATAACATTGTGCAGCTAGTTTTGTAATTTGGTTTTATGATAGTGTCCATATTTTTATGTAAACTTTGTAAAAATTCATTGGGAGCTCTTGGGTATTTGTCTACAAAGTTTGTATTATTTTAACACAAATAATTGGCCAATGCCTTTGCTAGTGATGCACTGATATTTTAATGAGGAAATTTATTTTTTGATGAAATACAAAAAAAAAGATCTGGTCAGAAATGTGCTCTGTGCGTGTATGCATGCATGCATGTGTGTGTGTGTGTGTGTGTGTGTTTTGTCCAAGTGCACTCAATTGGCAAAAACTGTTTCCAGGCATGTCATCAATTGTTTAAATCCAGTAAATATGTTTTTTGTCCACTCCAGAAGATAGGTGTATTAACCATAGTAAAGCATATAAATTCCTACAGTATCATCTTGTCTATATATATTACAGGATAATGTTTTCACATGCTACACAATAAAGCAACTAAATATAAGACTAATAATCAAGTTGCATCTGTTGAAATGACCACCATAGGATAGTAAAAAAAAAAAGACAAACCATTACATTTAATTCTTTACTTTAGCTATGCCCACAAAACGGTGCCATCTGGCAGTCATTATCTAAAAACTTGTGCTGTGTGCCAGCTGGCAATCTGTTCCACATCCTCAATCTCCACATTGGCCTTCATAATGCTTGTTCACAATGTTTTTTTTGTGCTTCTCATCTGTTGTGCTACTTCTCTCTTCTTTCTCTCCATTGTCATAATTTGCCATAAGTCATCCGTCTCTGGAGACCACCTTGTTCCTTGGTGTAGTCTGTGGTGAGAATGTGGGGACTGCTCAACAAAAGTTGACCCCAATAAAATGTTGGGGGGTCAACTTTTGGCCAATAAAATGTGGGAAACGGTATTTTAATTTATAATGTAGGTACTGTATAATAATACATAGAAAATTAGTTGCAGTATGTAACGACTCCTCTTCATTAAGCTGTCGACCTCTGAAGATATTTGTTTTTTCTTGTCAATTTGTTTTTTCATGTTCATCAGACAGCTGGACTAAAGGAACGTGGTCCAGATACTTTCACCCGTTTTTAGAGGGAGGACATTTGAAAACAGCAATGGAAAGCTTGTCTTTGTCCTTAATTAATTCACATTACATTATAATAGCATACCTATCATAGATACAATTCTCTTTTGGGTCAGCACACGTTGTTTGAGACTTACGTTGCTCCTATATCTTGTTCTAAGTAAATATATGCTTCACTCTGTGGTTGGCTAGGGTGTGTGATGCCTTTTCTTGTGTTCCTTGACCATTGCTGGAAGGAGAAAATTTTAGATTGATTTGACAAGCAGTGAAGCAATGGGAAAGTTGACAATATTGCCTGGTTGGTAACCTTGACTCTGACCTCTCACACCGTCTACCCTGATGGGTGTGAGAACTTTAAATTAATACCAAAGCTATTTAAATACCTTTTGCTATAATTTTTAGGACCTTACAAATAATAGGGGGGTTGCTGTGGACATTGGCATCAGCCCAACCCAAGTTGAGCTGTTTTATATAACTATTGTAAAGCTCCTTGGACAATACACACACACTCACACACTTTATGGCGAGTCCTTCAACTATTTGTTCATCCTTAATAACCTTATTCATATAGTGGCATCTGGAACAAGATATGATTGCCTGGAACTTGTTGAAAATTAAAGGAGGCTGCATTCCACACTTCCAATTACCTACACTGAAGAAAATTTCCCTTCTAAGCCTTGCCACTGAAATTCACTACTGTAGACCGTTTCCCGAGCTTGATGATAGCCAAGTTTGAATGTTCTACTTGGACTGTTGGCCACGCGCAGTAACTTCCGCGTGGTGATTTTGTCCACCTTCACTGGTTATTTGAAAGTGCCAAGCTATTCTAAAGCCCTACACTGAAGACTTCAATGTGCACACAGTCTAGGGGAGACCACCAAAGTATGCCCCAGTATCCAGTTTGGAAGCCCAAGGTTAATTGACCTGCCTTGAATATTCCAATTTAATTATAAACATAGTGTGCAAACACTTAACCCATTTGATTTTTCATTGCATTAGTACCAGTAGGAATTTATAGGTTTCCCCAGTAACAATATTGGTAATTTGCCCTTGGTAGATAATACCTTAAACTCTCGGCCAGTACTCTTAAAGCACGAGATTTCATTCGGGTATGCTGATTAATATTTTTAGTTCAGTGGACCAGCAAGTTTTCAACAGAGAATGTGTTTTACATCATTATCCTCACTAGAAGGACCAAAAGTATAGAATTTGTCCTTCATTTCTGAAAGGTAAGTATTGTATTTAGCTTGGTTTTTGTTAACTGAAATTGTGCACAATCCCACACAGTCGCACCTGACGTGACATTCTCAGTACCAGTGTCTATATCCTTGTTCCTTCGTGCAACTTGCTTAGACATTTGAGGGGGAAGGGGTAGTTTTGTAAAGTCTCTTTCAGATAGATGTGACAGTCACTATAAATGACTATCCCAGACGTCTTGTATCTTCAAACACTAGACTGTAGAGCATCTGAAGTGTAGGCCAAACAAGTCTACCTGCTAGTTGGAGTATCATGGGAGCCATCACTGGTGGCCTGTAACAAGAAAGGTACTGGGGTTGGTCTTGGTAAATATAAAAAAAAAAAAAAAAAAAAAAAAATGTGCAAACCAAGTTGAAGTGGAGTTTATATGTATGTATCAGCATTGTTGAATTTGTGTTGGTATAACAGAGATCAGAGCCACAGTGGGAAGTTGAATTGGCAGTTGTTAAAGAACTCGTTTGGTATTTCTATAAAGCAAAATTTCATAGTCATAAATATAAAGAATAAAATCAGTAATGCAACTTAAAAATTTGCAATCGATTGGTTTGTAATGCTGGTATGTTTTCATTTGCTGTGATTGAAAATTTTCTTCTTGTTTCTTGGTTGTTCGGTAGAATAGAGTGGTGATTGCTTCCTTAAGAATAAACTGACAGCATAGACTTGTTTTTTCCAGGTTCTCAGATGCTCCACAATCTAATGTTTGAAAATATATACAAAATCTAGAGAAGTTGCTTATAGTGGCAGTCTCCTAAAATATCTGAGGAAGAGAACCAGCCCCCTCAAATGTCGTAAAGATGCACAAGCAAACTATGACGTAGTAAGGGAGCTAGATTGATAGACTGGGTAGAAAACGAGAGCCTTGTCATACAACTTATATTTCCATATATCTTAAGAGAGCAATGTACAGTACATGTATATACATACTAATAATAAGATATAGATGAAACAGTCCATTTATTTTATGTTGGTACATAATTATGAATGGTTGATTGTGTCGTGAGACTTCATGAGCAGTAGAAAATTAAAGAGCAGCCAGATCTTGACTTGATTTATAAATGCTCATATTTTTTATGAATGTACATTTTGCACAGATGATTACAAAACTTGATATATTTAGTGTTTTAAACCTTTAATGTATTTTTTTTATTGAATAAAATTTTTATAAAACATTTTTGTTCTTTAAACATTTTTATGGGGTAGGTTGACACTTGCCGGAGAAGTACCCCCTCACTGTCTGGCCCGTTGCCGCCGTGAGGGGGCTTGGTGGGCAGCTGCCGGAGTGTGATGCTCCATGGGTCCGTTCTCTGTCCTTTTGCAGCCTTATGCTCCTGCTGCTGCCTTTACCAATTTTGCCAGGCCCCTTTTTCCTTTTCCTCGTGTTTCATTTTTTCCCCCCCCCCCCCCCCCCCCCCCCCCCAACCCCTCTTCTATCAAATTGTCATTTCCTGCCGACCTTTTCCCTGTTTTGATTATTCTTTCGACCTTCTTTTGTTTTGACGCCCGGGTGTTTGAGGAGGCATACTCTTGCACCCGTAGAACTGTAGTACCCAACGTCTCGAGTGAGGGGACCCTTTTATTGTTAATCCTCCTTTCATCATTCAACCCGCTCTCGACGGATTCACGGTTCTTAAGGTGGCGCTTGTGGGGCGTATACTCACAACGTACCCCTGGGGGGCCCCGGCAAGATTGACGATAGCTTCTTGTTGGGTGTCCTGTCTCTTAACTGTGGCTCCATGGTGTGTATGGGGGCACATTCGTGAATGAAAGTTTTTCCTCATTTTCATGGCTGATAATGTTTCCCTTGTACCTTCTCAGGCTCGTGGGGTGGGCGACCAAGCCCCCGAGTCGAACTCTGTTGGAAGACCAGGCCCTGTAGCCCCCGCTGCATTGGGCCCCGACGACCTGACTACTATACTTCCCTCAGCTCCCCTCCCTCCCTCTGGGGTAGGGTCGAGTCCCCAGCCCCCAGTGGTAACCACCTCGTCCCCTGGCACAGCTTCGTTTCTCATTGTGACTACTGCGCCATTTACCCCCCCCCCCCTCTCTCTCTGGGGGTTCTTAACGCCGTCCCCGCCACAGCCGCACTCGCACGATCCCTTTCCGTAATAATACTTAAAATGCCTTGTTTGGTCCTGCTACGTTGGCTAAATACTTTGATCTCCACCATCTGGATTCTACTCCTCCTGATGATTTCTACCATCATAAACACCTTGTTGATTCAGTAGATGCCTCAGTTACTTTTAACTCCACCAGTTACGGTACGCGTGTCGTCGCTGCTCGTTCTCGGAATGCAGCTACATACTCGCTTAGCCGCTTTGTCCTGCATTGGAGAGATCCCTGTTCGGGTCTCCAAAAACGCTCGATTAAATGCCAGTGTTGGCACTGTTCTCCTCCCACACCATGTTGCAACTGGTGTTCGGGACCTCAAAGATTGCCATGAGGATATTAAACATATCCTCGAAGCCCAAAGCCATTCTGTCCTCCAGGTGGACACGTTTACTCGACCCCGTTGTGGTCATTGCCGTCAGCCCCTTCGAGGTGTAAAAATCGCCTTTGATAGTAGGGCCCTTCCGCCCTCTATTATTCTTGCTGGTGCCAGATGTTCCGTTCAGGAGTACATTCCCTCTCCTAGACTTTGCAATAAGTGTTGGAAGTTTTGGCACGGTGTCTTCAAATGCACCAGTAATGTGTATCTGTGCCCCATGTGTGGGGACGATAGTCATTCTAAGTCCGAGTGCACTTCTCCCCAGGCTCGCTGCCTCAATTGCGGTGAAGCTCTTCCTACCTTCTCACGCTCGTGTATGCACTACAAACTCGAGGAAGCTGTCTTCAACTTGAAGCACCGTGATCGTCTGTCTTCCTGAAGCGAGACGACAAGTTCGTCTTCTCACCCGTTTCGCGGGCATCTCCTACGCTTGCGTGTTGCGTTCTACCTCTCCTTCTCATTCCCGTCTTCCTCAGTCTCGCAACCGTTTCCAGGCCTTAAACCCGACTACACCCACCACCACCTCTATTCCTTTGCCTCCTGTCCCAGATGGTCTCCCTCCCAGTTCTCCATCTGGGGTTGTCCCCCTTCCTACCCAGTCCACCATATCTCCTTTGTCTTCTTTCCCATCTTCCCCTACTCTTTCTACCTGACCCTTCCCCCAGTCTCTTGATCCTCCACGCCACCTGTCTGTGGCGATATCCATCATCCTCCCAGCAATCTTTGTGTTGTTTGCTCCCATTCCTCTTCTCTTGCCGAGACCATCGAGTCTCACCCGGTACGTTGTTACAGGAACGCGTCTCTTCGAGTCGGAAACGTAAGCCTGGCTCCTCTCCTTCCTCTCCGGAAGGGAGCAGGTCAGCCGAGCAGACAGCACACTGGACTAGTGATCCTGTGGTCCCGGGTTAGATCCCAGGCGCCGACGAGAAACAATGGGCAGAGTTTCTTTCACCCTATGCCCCTGTTACCTAGCAGTAAAATAGGTACCTGGGTGTTAGTCAGCTGTCACGGCCTGCTTTCTTGGGGGTGGAGGCCTGGTCGAGGACCGGGCCGCAGGGACACTAAAGCCCCGAAATCATCTCAAAATAACCTCAAGATAACCTCTGCAGCGGGTAAGAAGGTTTCGCTCTCTTCCTCACCCCCTCCCTCTGACTCTGTCACTACATACCCTCCCATTTCAGTGGTTGAACCCCCTGTCCCAGATATGGAGGTTTCTTTCGCCCCCGATTCCCTCTCGGTTGCTGCCCTTGTTGAGGTGCACTCCCTGACTTCTGGCCCCCCGTATCGTAACGCCACGTCAGCACAGCGCGGGCAGAGACACCACCCTCAACCGGCCGAACTGGCAAACACCACCAACTCAAGCCCATCGTAGAAGTCGTTGATTGGTGAATTGGGCTTGCTGCAAGAAGCGTAGGGGATTGTGGTCCGAGTAGATGGTGGTAGACCGAGCACCTTGCAGGCATGATTCAAAGTGCTGCAAGTTCAGGACGATGGAGAGTAGCTCCTTTTCGATAGCGCTGTAATTCTTATGGTGTGGTTTTAACTTGTAGCTGTAGTAGCTAACAGGTAGAACATCCTCGCCTCGTTGTTTCATCAGGACACCCCAAATGCCGGTACCACTAGCGTCGACATGGAGGATGAAAGGCTTCGTGATATCTGTCGAGGCGAGAATAGGATTAGAACGAGCATGGATTTAAGTTGTTCAAAAGCAATGGTCTGCCGAATGGTCCAATTATACCGTTGCTTGGGGCTGGTTAAAGTGATCAATGGTGTCGCCACCGCACTAAAATTCTTCACAAACCTACGGTAGTAGGAGGCAAGACCAAGGAAGCGCAGGAGCTGCTTCCTGGTGGTAGGCTGTGGGTAATGCTGGATGGCTTGAGCGTGTATGTTTAACGGAGCTAGGCTGCCACTCCCTATCACATGACCAAGATAACGCACTTTACTTTTAGCAAAGGTGGACTTGCCCAAGTTGATGGTGAGGCCGGCTGTCAGGAGCTTGGCGAACAATCGTTGCAGCTGGAGCAGATGTTCGTTCCAGGTGTTAGTTGCCATAACGATATCATCCAAGTAGGCGTAGGTGTAATCTAAGCCCTGGATGACGCGGTTGACAGCTCGCTGGAAGGTGGCCGGGGCATTACATAGTCCAAATGGAAGGCGTTCGTATCTGTAAAGGCCAAAAGGAGTGGTAAAGGCAGATATTTCCGTAGCTTGCTCCGTCAAACACACTTGGTAGTATCCCTTGAGTAAGTCTAACTTTGATAGATACCGAGCATTACCAATGGCGTCAAGGATGTCATCTATTCTAGGTAAAGGATAAGCATCCTTGATAGTCACAAGATTCAATTTCCGATAATCGGTACACAACCTCACTTTACCTTGCGGTTTCGGCACCAAGATGCAGGGTGAGGCCCAAGGGGACTCACAAGGGGTGGCCAGCCCATGATCCAGGAGGTACTGTACTTCAGCACGCATAACTTCCTTTTTGCTCGGGCTGATTCTGTAGAAAGGTTGACGAATCGGCCGGGTGTCAGGGAGTAGCTGGATGTCGTGCTGAACCACATTACACTCCTGTGGATCATCACTGAACAACTTCTGATGTTCCTTGAAGATTCTGATGAGAGGAGCACTATTACTGTCCTGCAAATAGGTATGAAGATCATTAAGGATTTCGAGTTGGAAGGCACTGACTCAGTGATAGTGCCTTCGGGAGGAGAAGCAGGGAAGGTCTCACTGTGGAGGTATGGACCTTTAAAGGTGGATAATGATACCAACACAGTAGGGGGAGTACCTTGATACTGCTTCAGGAGGTTGACATGGCACAACTGGGTCTTCCGCCGCCTGTCTGGAGTCTCAAGAACGTAGTTATGGATGTTTCTGCACTCCTTGATGCGGTAAGGTCCTGAAAACTTGTTTTGCAATGGAGAACCTGGGATAGGAAAATATGCCAACACGAAGTCTCCTGGTTTAAATTTCCTTAGGTTTGCTGAGTTGGTCAAAATGAGTCTTCATCCTCTCCTGAGCTTTCAATAGGATGTCATTAGCAAATTTATGTGCTCTCTCTAGAATGTGTTTTAAGTTTTGAAGAAACTGGGGCACATTCTGAGGGTCACTGAAGGTGGCATTACGTAGAGAGTCTTTGAAAGCTTTGAGAGGAGTACGGCACTTACGTCCGTAGAGCATCTCATAAGAAGATACTCCTAGAGACTCATTGGGGAGACTAATGAAAATGCACATAATGAGGTCAAGTTGTTTATCCCAGTCCTTCAAGGTGTCATTGCAAAATTTCTTTAGGAGTGCTTTAAAAGTCTGATGACTACGTTCAAGAGAACCCTGTGAAGCAGGATGATAGGGGCTGGACAGTACCTGTGTGATATTGAACTCCTCCAGTGTCTTCTTGAAGAGATCACTGGTGAAGTTGGTGCCACAGTCACTTTGAACCTCTCTTGGAAATCCATACTGGGTGAAGATTTATTTATTTATTTTATTTATTTATTTATATACAAGAAGGTACATTGGGTTTGTGAGAATACATAGCATGGTACAGTAATTGCACTCTTCTAAAGCCACTAGTACGAGCTGCGTTTCGGGCAGGTCCTTAATCTAACAGATAATTTTAAGTAGGTAAATTCTATCAGAATTAATAAAATGATAACAAATACATTGCAAGAAAAAAAATGAGAT